AACGTTTTTCCTCTTGAGTACAGGCAAATCCGAGGCGACCTCATACAGACGTGCCAGCTCGTGAGGAATCGAGAGTGTGCCCTGAAGTTTGATGACTTTTCGCATTCGCACTTCAACCAACCTCCGTGGGAATTCCCTCAAACTTCGGGGAACCTTATCCCATCTAGATGTCCGCAAGCAGTCGTTCACACAACGAGTCATCGGTGCCGGGAACGGACTGCCCGAGGAGGTCGTAATGGCGAACTCCATGGATGCATTCAAACGAAAACTGGATGGACATTTACTTAACATTTAATGTTCATATGCACAAGGAAGCAGTGGTAATCTACGCATTGGCCAAAACTATAGATAAAACTGTAAATGTGTATATGTTACTCGCTATTTTATAGTAACATATTTTATGCTGGATATATTATGCACAACAGAAACCACTGAATGCTCTCACGGACACGTCAGCCATACCTGCAGCTAAAATTTGTACATGTGTATATGTTACTCACCATTTTACTGTAGCATATTTTATGTTGGATATTTCATGTATACTGTTTTCAGTAGGGTCTTCGAAGGCATTGCCTACTACCCTGAATATACTGAACTATACTGAACTAACTTGACTGGGACCGAAAGGCTTTTCAGGCAGCTGATTGCTCGAGAGCGTTTCGGGACTCTTGTTGGACTGCACGCTGGACGCACGTGAGAAAGGGTGTGCTCGTTAGTCGCTCAGAACTTCGGCGATGGAAAAACCAGGGGCCGGCCATCAACGTTACTGCAGTGTTGGCGTGATGAGTCAGCGCTGGCGTTAAGGTCCACTACAGGCGCATTTCGAGAATGCTCGTTGCTGGGCGATCTAGCAGGTCATCAAGCAGACCGCGTCAGAGGCCAAAAAGAATATAACCATCTCTTGCCAGTAGAAGTTCTAGGCTTTTGCAACAGCGTCCGGGGGTTTTTCGGTAGCTCTGAATGGTAGGGTCGCAGTAATTTAAACAGCTCCTTTGTTGCAGACAGTGACAGATTCGACTTCAAGCAGAATTCCGACAACTTAATCAGGAAGCAGTTGCCTCCCACCGTATCAACTCTCTGAACACGTTCTGAAGTTCTATACCTTCTAGTAAATAACAATCGTAAAATTCCTACTCGTAGAAATTTCTGGGCTTAGTACAGAGATTTTCGATTCTGCAGCTCAGTTGTTTGTCTGACCCGGTTGAGAGCCATTTGAAGTTCCTGTCACAGGAAGTCGAAAAAACCTTTTCGTCTATTGGAAAGATAATTATTTTTCGAACAATTAGTAGGTATTTTTATCAGTCATCTGCTCGAGCGTAATCGGGAGGTTCAAAGGAGTAAAATACCGTCTGCAGCGGTAAACCTTTGTCGCGCGTGATTTTATTTGGAAAATTCGCATTTCTCAACAAGCTTTCTACAAGACGGCATTTATTTATACAATGCAGTTTAACATAGGAAGTGTTTAGTTTACTGAAAGCGTAAAAACTCCTTTCCGTCTGAAAAACGGCGAGACAAACGACTGTTATATTTCCATAGGAAAAATTCATTCACCCAATAACCATGCGGCCAGTGCTATTGTCGGAAAAAGTCACAGTCACATCACAAACGAGTTAAAGAAGGAATTGTGCGGAAAACTGTAGTCCTCCTCATGTTTGAAATACATGTGAAAAAAGGAGCCAATAATTATTTCAATCATGAAACCTCATGATCACCACGGACCGACGGACGTAGGTTTTCTCCGAAAAGTAGTCATTCGAAAACATTTGCGCAATAGATTCACGTGACACATCGTTTACGAATGCAGAATTTGACAGACGGGCTTAGCTTTTCAGGAAGCTACAAGCTGAGCATTTGAAGGCACGCGCTTAATAAGACCTATATTACGTAGCAATTAACTCTTACTTCAACATTTCTGCATAATATTATATTCGTGGGCATTTCACTGAATGTTTATGTACAGAACGCGTGCACTACTTCAAGGACATTAAGGAAAGCCTACTAACGAACGCGGACTGTACCATCGCTAAAAAGCCTACTTTTGAAAATTGATTTTCGGCCATAGACTAGAACGTCAAATCTATCTCGGATTTGCAGTGTTTTTCAAATGATTTAATTACTTTATTTTTTTCCGCGCGCAGTCTAACTACTTGGTTTGCTTGCTGCATTTTAGAGAGTTTAGTTAATGGGCGTCACGGAGTGTCATCGGATGCAGCCTTTTGTTAGGATATTCTATCCCACTATCAGGCAGTCCATTTTAA